TAGGTACATTGAGCCAAGGGAGCTGGGGACCACTAAGGGAAACCTACAGACCGTGGAAGCTTTCACAGTGCTCAACTTCTTGATGCGTCCTTGGTGCTCCTTCACATCTGAAGGCTTGCTAAGCACTTCAACAAGGAGACTTGCTTGTTTATTTTCCCCTGTACTTCATATTCTCTCTGGACTGCCCTTCAGTGCCATAGCAGCAGGAAGAACTCTTCTGACAGAGACATAGTTGCAAGGGAGAACCTGTTACGCATGCAGGAGAAAGCACTGCATCTTTCAAATCACACGAATGGTTTTAAGATGCATCTTGCCCAGAGCTCTTGCTGTCTCCCACCTCCAACCTCTCCTTACAACTCTTTCCACCTTTACTAGTGCAGGCAGGGGTGTCACTCTCCCTTTGCCCTTTCTGTCACCGTTATGGTCCATGAAAGGGGCAGGGTCACATTGCAGCTGTTGGTGGCTGGTCTGTTCCAGCGGTCGTGTCTTGTCTGCAACTGTGACGATGCAGCCACCGTCTGCAGCGCAGACACGTGTGCGTGGGGGGCGGCAAAACTCTGGACAGAAACCATCGCTTTCCATCACCTAATGGCTTCGTTGCTATTGTCTGAGACACCCTTTCCCTTGGGAACAACAGCTCATTTGGCTGTTGGCTGTATGATACCTGGTACAATACCTGCACAGACTCAGAGCAAGGCACCCAGATCCCAGCCAAGCTTTAGGAAGGGTCAACACCTTCATCTCCCGCACCCCCAGGGTGCGAGTGCACTTTCTGTATTCATCTTGCTTATATTCAGGATCTGGTCCATATCACAATAACCCACTTCTTTTGTGCTTCTCTCCCTCTTCCTTCATCCAGCTCTGAATATATCCAAAATGTTGCTAGGCAAATCCTCAGCCCAGGTTGCTGCTCTGATTACATATATATCCTTTGAATCTGTTTCTTGGTATCGCACATGTAGCTAGGGCTCTCTGCTCCACTTTCCAGTGTTCTGTTAGCACACTGCTGCCTGGCCCTTCTACCCTCCTTTCTTATTACTAGGGTCAGGTTGAATTGCTCATCCTGGCTCTGGCAAAGCACCATGGCTATGTGATTGTGACAGCAAGCTGAAATGTTATTCAGAGTGTTTGTGCAGATGCAGGTAGGATGACACGTATTGTTTTTTATATATGAACTTGATCAACCAAAAAGGTTAATGTCAGCTTTGTCATTGCTGGGCTTGTATTAGCCTGCCTGCTTAGATCTGGTATTTCCCACTTCTCTCCTAGCTGCTCTTTCAGACTCCCGACAGCTTCACTGGGTATCTGTGCACTTTTGGTGCCTGTTATGCTGTTATAAATGTTTTTGCAACTGTTCAGCCCAAAGACTGATTTTTAGTGTGAGCTTGTCATGGATCAGGATATGGTGGCCAACAGCAGGAGGCATCTGCTGGATCCTGCACGTTCCAACCCGCGGCCTAACCTCCAGAATAACATTGCCTTGCAGCAGGCACAAGACTTTACTGTTGAATGCTTGTTATTAATCCTGCATTTTCTAAGAATTAGTATATGCAGAGATCATGTCTTTTCAGACTTTTCTTAGTTATCAGGAGAGCTAACAGTACATATTTTTAACAGCAATCTGTGATTCTGACATCTTGAACACCTGGAAAAGTGTTTGTTTTGAGTTCCTAATCTCTGCTGAAAATGCATCTCAGCGAGATGCTTAGCTTTGAGCACAGGCTCTGTGGGAAACTGCGCTTCACCAGCTGACACCTGTGGTGAGCCCCATGGGTGCTGTTTTTCCCAGCATGGACTGAGTAGAGGTGTGGAAGAAGAGTTTGTGAATAAGCAGCCAGCTTCCCAAGTACTGCCCTGGGGTCCTGCTTTCTTGCAGAGGGAATGACTCAGAGCTGCAATATGGAGTGAAGAAAGGGATGAGAAAAATAGTGGGAATGGGGCACGCTGACTTTCTTTTGCTTTCAACAGATGTACTTATCTGGTCTTTGTGAAGTTCATCCTTTTTCCCATCTACCTTCAACCTTCCATACAGGCAGGTTGTCCTACATCCCACTGTGCTGGAGCCAAAAGAAAGCCATTGGTACAGCAGTGACCTGGTGTGAGACCAGGGCCTGGATCCTGTGGGGCTAAACAGGAGCTGGGCATTGTCTTGTGTTGAACATACCAGGAGTCCTGTGCCCAGAGACAGGTCTGGAGCAAAGTTGCTCTTCTGGAACTGTAGTGATGCTCAGAGGAGCAGCAAAGGGACAGACAAATTCAGAAGAGAGCCACAATTGTCTACACTCATCCTGTCCTACCATCTTATCTGCAGGTTTGATTTGAGCAGCTCTTAGGCACTGCACTGTCTCATCCATCACGACACATCGTCTCCTGGAGGCTCCTGCCGTGATCTGAAGGATGATGGTGTTGAGCATGGGAACTTCCAGGAGACAGCGGTGGCCTCAAAGGTCCAGCCTCCTCCTATCATTGCAAGCTGTGCTCTTAGGCTGGTGAGGAATTGGCTGTTAGGAGGGAGATGAGAAAGGGCTGGGGCGGATACTATAGTAATGTGCCATTGAACTTGTGCTTTCAGGGACGAACTTCAGTGTGCCAAAGAGAAGAGCTTCATTGTGCCTACACTGATTCAATGTGCTCCTGGCTTGGTTCCCAGTTTTTCATCTTTGCTCCTACTTACAAGAACTAACCACGAGAGTCTCGTGTATAGTAGCAAAATACGCAGTAAGACCAGCACAACTGTTATTTCAAAAACATTTGTGCTACTGTGTTGCTTGCATGCTTCTGAAAATGTCAGCTTGCCTGACTGCTGCTGGTACCCTGGGTCACTGCTGTGCTGCCTGAGACCTTGGTTGCTCCCTCTCTTAAGTTTCCTCCTTGCTGCCTAAATTCCTGGAACAAGCTAAAAGCAGATTTTTCTCCTTCATCTAAATAATAAAAAGATGTTGGCATTTTTAACGTTTCACACGCATGAAATGTCTTCTGAAGTCTCACTAATAGCTTTGCTTGATTCATCTGCCTTAAATCCCCTTAAATTACACATGGTGGGTGCAGTGTCTAGACTGCACCTGCCCCGTGCAAGAGCAGGGGGCTCAGGGGGAAGGAGGGAAGAGCACAGGCTGCTGCAGCTCTTGCCTGTCTTTCAAGACCTCTACAGCAGTTCCACGTGGAGAGAGCTGTGCCAAAGAGTACGCGAACGTGCTGCCTCCACACTAGTGTGGCTTTGCTGTGCTTTCTCATTTGTAAAATTGGGCCGATGAGAAAATGTCAACCATGAATAAGCTAAACTTTCTACTCTGCCTTGTGGCGGGAAGTCCGGAGGTTGGCGTAGAAGAATTTGTTTTATTCCCCCGCCTCTC